GGCTCTTTGCTAACACCCAAGGACTGAGAAACCTGGACGGAGTCCCTGCCTTCACCCTGGCCCAGCCCTGGCTTTGCAGTCACTTGGGGAGGGAACCAGCAGATGGCATAGCTCTCTTCCCTCTCTCTGTCTCTCTCTCTCTCTCTCTAACACTGCCTTTCAAATACATAAATAAATCTTGTTTTTTAAAGAGAAGCTATGGAGAAGATCTTTCTATGCTGCTATGCCCTTAGGTCTAGTTCCCTTCAACAGATAGCTGACATTGGTGGTTTCTTACTGTATTGCCAAATGCCCTTTATGTACATGCAAACATAAATCCATATTTACAAAAGCCATCTTATTCACAAAATGTGGTAGATTTTACACTGTGCTCTACGTCTTGCTGCTTTTATAAACAAAATAAACTGCTTCCACTCAATAAGGAAGGATGGGTTCAGTAGCAGTGGTGTTGCTGGGATTTTTTTGATAATCATGGTATTACTGTAGATATTCTTAGAAAGATGACTATGGTTTTGTAAATATTTATTTATTTTCATTTGAAAGGCATATTTTATAGGAAGAGAAGGAGAGACAGAGGTTTTGAGGTTTTTCAACCACAAGTTCACTCCCCAAATGACCGCAGTAGCTGTAGCTGAACCAAAGCCAGGAGCCAGGAGCTTCTTTCCGGTCTCCCATGCGGGTGCAGGCCTGAGGACCTGAGCCATCCTCTGCTGCATTCTCAGGCTGTACAGGAGGACCTGGATCAGAAGAGGAGCAGCCAGGACAAGAACCAGCACCCTTATTGGATGCTGACACTGCAGGCAGAGGATTAGCTGGCTTCACTCCACCAACCCCAGAAGGATAGCTATGTTCATTATAATTTGCAGATTTAACTCTGTTCAATTCTAAAAGCAAGATCCTGTACTAAAATCATACAACTTATTTTTTTAAGATTTGTTTTATTTTTATGGGAAAGTTAGATATACGGAGAGAAGGAGAGACAAAGAGAAAGATCTTCCATCCATTGATTCACTCCCCAAGTGGCCAAAACAGCCAGAGCTGTGTCAATCCCTAATCAGGAGCCAGGAGCCTCCTCCAGCTCTCCCACACAGGTGCAGGGTTCTAAGGCCTTGGACTGTCCTTGACTGCTTTCTCAGGCCACAAGCAGGGAGCTGGATGGGTGGCAGGCCGTCTGGATTAGAACCAGTGCCCATATGGGATCCTGGTGTGTGCAAGGTGAGGACTTTAACCACTAGGCTACCATGCCGGCCCAATCATACAACTTTTTAATAGTAACTCGTAGGTCACTCAAGCAATGTGATCCCACAATGAGACCCAAATTTAATGTGTTCAGCTGCCATCCCTCCATGGGATTGTGAGTAGAGCCACATTTGAACAAAATATTTGAATTCTTACCTTCAGGAAAGTCATCTTGTGAATGATATGCGGGTAGAAATGGCCAACCCATCAGCACCCCAACTTACCTTTCTCCATGAGAGGACCAACCCTCATGTCAGGTGAATAGAGTACAGCAGAGTGCTCTGCACCTGCTGGCCAAGACAGACAACTTTTCAAACCTTGTCCTTTGCAAGGTCATGGCCCTTGGTCAGAGTGTGGCCTGTGCGGTTAGGTGGCTCTTTTGCTTGATTACTGTGCAGGTGCCATCTTGAAAATCTCAGGAATGTAACAGAATGCTCTCACCACCGTGACCCACAAAAGATGCAGCCAGTTCTCTTGTCTCCGTGTGGATGCGAAGGAGGAGGCCACAGGGCCAGGCAGGTGGCATACAGTTAAGACACACCCTATAATACAGAGCACGGGTTGGAGTCCCAGCTCCCCTCACAGCTCACCTGCAGAGGCAATGGTGATGGTTCCAGTGTTTGGCGTCCTACCAGCCAAGTAGTGTTGAGTGCCAGCTCCTGGCCTTGGCCTAGTTGAGCTCCGGGCATTTCAGGCATCTGGCGGTTGAAGCAGCAGATAGGAAATCTACATCTATCTCCTTCTTTCTCTGCTTTTCACATAAATATTCTTCTTGAACAGAGGAGGAGGATGCAAGAAAGGCAAAGGAGTATCTCTTAAGAAGAAGGAGCAGCACCCTCCACAAAGCCCGCCTGGCTCGGGATCATTTTCTCCACGGCAGAGCCTCCTCGAAGCGCCTTGTAAATCCCCACCAAAGGTTAATTGCCCAATCACGAAGAACCACTATCATTTTCCAAAAAATCTGCTTGTTCCAAAGAGGAGCAAGTAATTGGTTTTCATGTTCAGCTTCCTTCTTACCGTTTCCCCCCGCCCCAGTGTTAATGATGAATGGCTTGTCAAACAGTGAAAATATTTTTAATTTGAATCATCAAACGTCCTTATTACCTCAATAAAAAGATAAAGTTAATGATGAAATCCGCCCGCCACCCCTACGAGTAATAATTGGTTAAGCAAATACAAAGTCCGGCCCTCAGTGGACATGCCATGCGGCGTTAGTATGCAGGCAACTTCATTTTCAGAGAATTAATGCACATGATGTGCACCGCAGGGGCCTTTACTTTCAGACAATCAGTGGAAGTGCACACGCCCCTGGGCTTCCTCATGACTGGCCCACTGGCACAGGTGTTTGCCTTGTATGGATACCCTTGATGGGATTAGCACATAGGTGGCGTAGAGCCGATCGCACCCCTAATGTGGGTGGGCCTCACCTGACCAGCTGAAGAGCTGAATGGTACAAAAATATCAGGGGGTGGAGTAGGGGGTAATTCCTCCAGCTGAGAGCCCAGCTTTGCCACCGGCCTTCACACTGGCACTGAAACATTGGTGCTTCTGGGTCTTGAGCCTGTTCATCTTCAAATGAAAACGCCACCATCAGCTCTCCCCATCCTTAGGCCTTCGGTCCCAGCTGAACCCTCGCCCTCAGCCATCCTTGTGTGTTCCGCTTGCCAAGTAATCCATGGTCTTGGGATCTGTCCACCCGTGGGATCACATGGGCCAGTTCTTTAGAATTAACCCTATCTTTCTGTATCCATCTCCTCCTGGCTCTGTCTGCCTGGAGGGACTACTCTGACCCATACACAGCTACCAGTCCAGTCTGTACTGGCCATTGCTTACAGACAGAACTGCCATCGGCCTTCTTAACAGATAGAAAGTTTTGAAATGTTTATAAAAGTTGTAAAACACAGTGTTTGTGGAAGTGTTGCTGAGTCAAGAATCTTCTCCATCAAGTAGACATAATAGCCGCCTCCCATCGTGAAGCATTGGCTCAGAAACGTGGTGACTTTATGCTAAAGAAGCATGGGAAGGATGGGATCCTGTGAGCTGCAAGTTCAAGATGAAAATGACTCAGGATGACCTTCAGGGCCTTCCAGCATCAGACAGCCAAGGAGGCAGGTGGTGGGAGTGGATGAGACAGGCTTAGGTGACAGATGGCCCGGGATCGGTGCTCCAGGCTTAGCAGGGTGTCCTTGCACAAGCGGCTTCGTGTCTGTTATGGTCTCCTTACTTGAAAATTAAGAGAAATGGTAAAAACTTGAAAGGCTGCCAAAAAAAAAGGTTGATTATGCTAATTTTAACAGCTACAACATTGTCAGCACTTCATGGATCCCAAAACTGTATTTCTCACGATTATTACCTGCTTGTACCTCACATCAAGGAACCCAACAGATTCATTTAATGAAGAAATAAAGGTTTTTTTTTTTAACCAACTTGAATACCCAGCTCTCATCCTAGAGCAATCTCACTACACCTTCCAACACACACACACACATACATACACACAAATGTTATTTCCAAACACACCACAGATCGTATGAAGAATCACAAACAAGAAAAAATAACAAAATAAGAAAGTAAGATGTTAAGACAGTTAACACTGTGGATTAAACTGCCCCTGTGACACCAACATCCCCATAGCAGCATGGATTCAAGTCCCAGCTGCTCCACTTTTGATCCAACTTTCAGCTGATACTTCTGGAAAAGCAACAGTATTTAAATGGACCCTAGGGAGGGACTCATTTTTCTCCAAAATGATGGCCCCATTGTACACTGCTTGCTTTTTAAAAAAGATTTATTTTATTTGTTCAACAGACATAAATGAAAGTAGGATGTGTGGCAGTGATGTGCACCCCACATATTTATCACAGCTCAATTCACCATAGCTAAAATATGGAATCAACCCAGATGCCCCCCAGCTGATATGGATCAAGAGAATACGGTATATATATATGTGCTTCCTGGAATACGACTCAGCCATTAAAAACAATGAAATCCAGTCTTTTGATACAACTGGAAATTGTTATGCTTAGTGAAATAAGGCAGGCCCCAAAAGACAAATAATTTTGTTTTCTCTGATTGACTGCAGCTAATATAGAATACCAAAAACTGTAGGAATGAAATGGGATATGGCTGTCACTGTCGCCCTGTGTTTATACACCAGTGGACCTACGGCCTTCCTGCGTTTTCCCTGTTAAATATTATGATCAGTGGATTAAAATCATGTCTACAAAAATTGATGAAGGGGGGAAGGAGGGAAGGAATACTGGTGGGAGCAGAGGAGGGGGAAGTGTGGCTTCTTGGAACTGTGCCTATGGAATGCTCAATCTTTTTATATTAGTTTTTTTTTAAGTTATTTATTATCTCGTATCAATAAAAGAATTCCGTGATGAGCTTTGGGAGATATGGGGGAGGGGTGTAAGTAGAAACGCAGACTGCAAGAGAGCAGGTGTTATTTCTTTGATAATGGGATTCTTATTTTTGACTACTTGTACAAAGATTCGGTGACAGCACGGTCCCGCTATTGGGAGTGCGAACCGGGAACCGAGCAAGGTGGCCCTCTGGCGGGAAGCGGGACGCACGCCGGGCTCCCCTAGGCTCCTCCTGGATACATTCGGCTCCCCAACCCCTGCACGCTCGGACTCGACTCTTTTCGACTTCTCTTCGGCCCACCTTCGGCTATCCTCGGCTGCCTTCGCTCTACGCTCGGCTCCTCTTCGGTTCCGTTCGGTCGGCCCCTCGGGATCGGCTTCTTCGGGTGACTTCCGTCTCGGCTTCGGCTCCTCTTCGGGTGTGGTCAGTGGACGCTAGTCAGGGCGGACTCGGCGCTCCTCGGCGGCCTTCGTCTGGAGCTCGTCTGGGCCTCGGCTCCTTTTCGGGCGCGATCGTTCGCCGTTCGGCAGGCCAGGCTCGGCTCTCCTCGGCTGCCTTCGGCTCCTCTTCGGCTGCGCTCCCGGAAGGGCGCCCATGGAGCCGGCTTGCCGGCCTGCCATGGCGCCTCTGCTGGAGTATGAGCGGCAGCTTGTGCTGGAACTTCTGGACACCGACGGGCTGGTGGTGTGTGCCCGCGGGCTCGGCGCCGACCGACTCCTCTACCATTTCCTCCGGCTGCACTGCCACCCGGCCTGCCTGGTGCTGGTGCTCAACACGCAGCCGGCCGAGGAGGTGCGAGCTCCGTGACTGAAGGGGAGCGGGCTAGCGTCGGCCTCCGGGAAGGGGGCAGGCCTGGGCGCCGGGGCGAGGCCTTTGACGGCTTAGAGGGGGGCTTCGTGAGGCCCCCCAGCACGGGAGGAAGGGGAGGCTGAGGCGGCCGGCGGTCCCTGACACCGCGCGGGGTCCCGGCTGTGGGGCGAGCAGGGGCCGGGGGTCCCTGACATCCGTGGGAACCGGGAGACAGCGAGGGGCTGGGGGCTGAGTTGGGCGTCCCTGCTGGGGAAGCAGAGGTGTCTGACAGGAGCAGGGCGTCCTCAGGCTGCCAGCTAAGAGGAAGTGTAGAGGTAGAGAAGAAACATCCCGTCAGAGGAACTGATGAGGTGGAGGGAGTCCCCGAGGGTGATGGACACACCCGTGGGGCAGGGGAGGAGCCGGCAGCCGTGGGACAGGGAGCCTGCGGGCCGGCGCCGGGGCTTGCCCTGACACGTCGTGGAGAGAGAAGGCAGGCGGCCTGGAAGAGGAAACCTCAGGGAGGAGAGTGGCCGCGAGCAAGCTCCTTGACGACAGGCAGCCCGGGGGTCTCCTCTGCGTCAGAGGGGGCAGTCGGTGTGGCACCGAGCTGGGGAGGGGGTGGGTGACATCCCCTTGCCTTAGCCATCTGTCTGTGTGAACGTCAGCCTGCTTCCGTGTCCTGGGCCCACCTGGGCCAAGAGACTGACAGGACAGACTGGCTCTGGGATGGGACCCGGGGAGGACCCCAGCGGGACACTGCCTGGGATAAGGGTCTCCTTCCTCCCACCCGCCCCTGCCCGGACATGCTGGGTGCACACCCGGCTTAGCTGGCTGCCATTCTTGGGCAGTAGGCTTTTTTTTTTTTTAAGATTTTATTTATTTTAATTGTAAAGTCAGATATATAGAGAGGAGGAGAGACAGAGAGGAAGATCCTCCCTACAATGATTCAGTTCCCAAGTGGCCACAACGGCCGGTGTTGTGCTGCTCTGAAGCCAGGAGCTTCTTCTGGGTCTCCCACATGGGTGCAGGGTCCCAAGGCTTTGGGCCGTCCTCGACTGCTTTCCCAGGCCACAAGCAGGGAGCTGGATGGGAAGTGGAGCTGCTGGGATTAGAACCGGCACTCACATGGGATCTTGGCGCGTTCAAGGCGAGGACCTTAACTGCTATGCTATTATACCAGGCCCACTAGAAGACTTTTGAAAGTTGATAATGACACAAGCGTGGTTATTTCTTGTTGTAAACCCAAAAATGAAAATAAGTCCCTAGTTAAATATCCAGCTGTTGGTTGATCATCATGAAGGAGTATCTTAGTTAGCCCTGAGAAAGTTTAAACACCTGCAACTTGTATAAAAACTGCCTTCTGTTAAACAGCCTGCTCATCAAGTCTGATTTAATTTAGGAGTATTTTATCAATCAGCTGAAGATAGAAGGCGTGGAACACCTCCCTCGGCGAGTGACCAATGAAATCGCAAGCAGCAGCCGCTATGAGGTGTATACGCAGGGCGGCATTATATTCGCCACAAGTCGCATCCTGGTGGTTGATTTCCTGACCGATAGAATACCTTCAGATTTAATTACCGGTAAGAATTGAAATCTTAGCCTCCCTCGTGCATAAGGGTGCATAGCTTTGTTTTTGTCCCCTGTGCCCAACCGAACTCCGTGCTAGAACCTTCTGCTCTAAGGGCATCACTGCTGAGTTCCACATGGTGCTGCTGCCAGTTAGCACACATACCACAGGCACTGTGGGCGCTCCTCGGGGTTTCTCAACTAAAGAGCTGTCGTCACGCCTCCCCTCGGCAGGGCCACACGTGCCGAGACGGGCGTTGTCGGGCACATCATAGCGATTACTGAGCAAGCCCACGTGGTGAGTGCCGACCACCTGACATGGCCTCCGGCTGCCACCGAGGGGCAAGGTCACTTGGGGTGCCCAGGCTAGAGAGCCAGTACACGGCAGGTGCTTGAGGTCTTTGGATGAGTGGCAGGTGGATCTAGTGTGAACTTGTGCTTGCAGAGGACACAGGGACACTGAAGCCCATGGTCGTCAGTGCTGTCACTCTCCTGTCGTCCCAGATGCAGGTGACCCTCAGTGACGGAAGGAATACGTACATGAAAGCAGTGGAGCATCTGATTCGTGGGGAACTGACGGGGGAAGGGGTCTGCTCTTTGCTAACATTTCCATTCGGCACAGACAGACCTGGGCCTTGCGGTCGCGCTCCAGGGACTTTGAACTCTGTGCTCTGGTTACAAAGCGAGCTCCTTCGTTGTATGACCCTCGAGTTTTCTTAGCTTTTAAACAGGAAATAGGGCCTGCTGGAGTTACCATAGGGATTCGGTGCGGGGAAATACATTCCAGACAGTGCCTTGGTCTTGACGAACTCTGAATAACCAAGAGCAAGGGAAGAAACAGGTTAGCTTTTTATAACCAGAAATCTGGATACAGGCTGTTTGGTGCTTACTTTGTTTGTTGAAAAGATTTTTTTATTTGAAAGGCCAGTTTACAGAGAGGAGAGACAGAGATCTTCCATCCACTGGTTCACTCCGGAAATGCTGCAAAGGCTAGAGCTGAATTGATCTGACCTGTCTCAAACCTGTATCCAAGGGGGATACTGGTGCCCCAGGCGGAAGCTTTAGCCTACTGTGCCGTGGGACCAGCCCCTGTTTGCTGCTTAAAGCAAAAGTTAAAACCTTTGCTTTAATTTTTCTTTAGGTTCATAAACTGGGGGACAATCCCACGGATCTGCCGCTAGATGTCAGTGTTACTCTCTGAGTTGCAGCTCAGCCTAAGGAGCCTGGGAGCTGTGTGAGCACCCAGTCTGGTCCGGCCCATAGGCGCTTCCTAATTTAAAGTACCACAGGCCCTTCCTCTCGCTCACCAAGTCCCCAGCAGCCATGGAGCTGGAGTTGCTGCTGCTCAGCTGAGGGGAGTGCAAATGAATGCCAGAAATCGATTCTTTTAAATTTTTCATCTCCAGGATCCCCTGTAAGAGCCTTGCTCGAAACTCAAACGGACCTCGTGGCAGTCCCCCCCGCCTGGAAACCTGTGGAAAGGACATTGTGTCCCTGTGGTCACCCATGCTTACTGCCACATCCTACCTGTGCTGTGGCAGCTCATGAATACCAGGTGACACCTGGAAGAGTCAGGCAGCGCGTTTCCCTCGCTGAGGCTGGCCCTGGTGTCTCTACAACATTTTCTGGGAAATGTTAGAGGAAAAAACAGCTAGGTATTAGATTTGGTGTACCCAGTGTTACAGTTTTACACTTACCCAACAAACATTTGAACTGACTGAAGGTGCCACGAGGTGGAGGACCATGAATTCCTGAGTTAGCCTGCTGCTGACTGCAGTTGGTTTAGCTGTCAGACGGGGAGGTGATGTGCTGGGAGGGTGAAATGCAGTCGTGGAGGTAATACACGTGGCTCTGTGATTGCATCTCATCAGCTCCCTGTGTCTGTCTGCAAGCAGCGCAGTGAAAGAGGTGTGTAAAGGGCCAGCTGTAGGACAGTCTGAGGTCAGGAGTGTAAGTCCACAAGCAGGCGCCCGTGGAGCAGGAAGGGCGCCCCTGCCAAGCACCCTCCTGCACGGAGTGGCCTGGGTGGGAAGGCACAGCCTTGACTCGGGGTGTAGACCCTTTTCCTCCCACCTGCTCACCGGGTGAGCTGGATCGAGTTGGTCTTCAGTAATGTCTCACATGTAGAATTATCCCAAACACTCAACGAAGTAAAAACCCTGTAGGAGGACCTGAGCCAGGACCTGGGTGTCATTGCTTCTCTCCTGCTTCCTCTTTCCGATGTCTGAGAGAATGACCGGCCGTGGGAGCCCGGTGTTTTCAGAAATTGAGACTCACATTTGCCTTCGAGTCCATTTTTATTATTCTTAACTTCGTGTGGCATTTCAACCCAGGCTGACAAAGTGTGGCCCTCGGTGTCCTTGGGGAGACTCCCCCTCCCGGGACAAGGTGTTTTCCGAGTCATAAATGAGTATGTACATCTGTTGGAAATCCCTGCTGAACTTCCGGATAACACCATCGGTTTTGACTACATTTGAAAAATAACTTGCTGAGCAAGAACAGATTTAGTTCCGGCCTCCTTGATCCACAATTGAAACATTTAGACTGAATTGATTTTTTTGAGCTCCGAGAAGGAGTCATCATGACCGTTAGGTGATGAGGGATGAGACCTGGAGCAAAAACATGTGAGTACATTTTTAGCAAACAGCTTCATTTAAATGAAAACGACCCGTCCTCACGAAAAAATTGGGTGTTTGAAGCAGACATGTCTGTGTCTTGTTTTTCCATAACGTGTCGCTGTATGTAAAGGGCATGTACGTGTGGAAAATCTTCTGAATTCTCATTTTATAAATGAGGAAATAGGCATAGTTGTTCTTGTTTTTGAGATTCAGGATGTCTTGATCACCCTCTCTCCCCACCCCCCAAAATTTATTAAATGTACTTGCTAAAGGTTCTCCTTTAAAATGGACTCCTTTGCATCTTCTTTGCACATATCCTGACCTTGGGAATTGAATGGATCTAGTAAGCAATGGAAACATCTCTCGATCTTGTAAGATGGAGCCCTTTTCTGTGGCCCACGTCCAGTTCTTCCTCCCACCTGGCTGTCACCCACCTCCGCCCTGCCCCATCTCTGTTCTTCTGTCTCCCTGGCCGTGCCCATCACAGAACTCACCGCTTCCTCTCCTCCCCCGCCATCGGAACTGCCAGCCACCCCGCCGCACACAGTCCTTCTCCTTCTCGGATTCCTTGGCCTCCTTAGCTCCTGCGGAGTGGCTCCGTGAGGGCAGGGGCTGACACAGGTTTTGCCCGTTCTCAAGCAGAACCCCCAGAAAGAGGTGGAGGATGAGTGATGACGGAGTGTGCGGAAGGGAGCGTGCAAGTGGCCGTTACAGTTCCGCTCTCCCCCTTCAGGCATACTGGTGTACAGGGCTCACAGAATCATCGAGTCTTGTCAGGAAGCGTTCATCCTGCGCCTCTTCCGGCAGAAGAACAAGCGGGGTTTTATTAAAGCCTTCACAGACAACGCTGTCGCCTTCGATACCGGCTTCTGCCACGTGGAGAGAGTGATGCGGAATCTTTTTGTGAAGAAGCTGTATCTGTGGCCAAGGTAAGCAGTGGCACATGAAGCCATTCGTGAGCACAACTCAGTAGCCCGCCCATGTCTTATTCCCTTGTCATGTCAGAGTTACTGAAATTGCACCCAGCAAGTGCCAGTCAGACATAGAACACAGCCCAGCATGATCACGTGGCCACCTCCTTCGTGCTTCGCTTTCTGTATTTTTTTCTTCCAAGAACAAACTGGAAAGGGGCGGGGTGCTTGAAAGGTGCAGCGCTGGAGGTGGCAGTGCCCTGTGGGATGAAAGGGCAGGGGCAAAGAGAGGTCTTCCAGTGCAGTTCACTCTCCCCAGTAGTCGCCACAGCCAGGAGCCAGCCTGCGCAGGTGTCCCCCACAAGGGCGGCAGGGCCCAAGCACTCGGCTGCACCCTCTCCTGCTTTGCCGGGTGTATTAGCAGGGAGCTGGACTGGAAGCGGAGCCACTGGGACCTTTTGGAATGTCAGCAGCGTGAGTGGCAGCTTAACCTGCTGCAATCCTGTTTGGTCCTTGAAAAGCAGACATTTCATCAGATCCATCCAAGGACAGTTGCTGTGGCCTTTCCTCTCCCTTTAGTGACACATGCACAGCAGGTGTGGGGGGACGTGCTTAGACTCACCCAGTTGACCACGACTTCCACTGTGAACCCTGTCCATCAGGGGAAAAGAGCGCTTAGAGTCCTGAGGAATTGGTCAGTTTCTAGGAAAAATCATAGCACTCTGTTTGCAAACACTTCTGCAACCTCTGCTGCTGTGTCTCGATGCCGCAGTACTGTTACTTAAAGGTAGTTACAGTGGTTTTCCTTTTTAACCTACCCTGGTTCAGAGGCCCCCAGAGTGTCCTGTACAGCCAGGGAGCGAGTTGTTGGAGTTGTTGCGGGCCTTTGGTTTGTCGGCACAGGAAGGTCGGCCTAGGCAGTGCAGGCACGTGGCTGCTGTGGGCTGGGGAGGCTGTGCACACGGCACCGGATCTAGCTGCCTCGACTGCACATTGCTCCCACCCCTTGGCGTTCCCCGTGTTCTGCAGAAGGCAGCTTGGCTCCCCATTGTGCTGGTTTCTTGTCGTTGCATTTGCAAGAACTGATTAATAGGAGGTTACTGAAACTCCAGAAAATATCCTAAAAGCGTTTGTCTCGCAGATTCCATGTGGCCGTGAACTCGTTCTTGGAACAGCACAAGCCTGAAGTCGTGGAGATCCACGTCTCCATGACGCCGGCCATGCTCGCCATCCAGACCGCCATCCTGGACATCTTAAACGCATGTCTAAAGGAGCTCAAATGCCACAACCCGACGCTGGAAGTGGAAGACTTGTCTTTAGAAAACGCTATCGGGAAACCTTTTGACAAGGTACCCTTTTTCTTTTCCTTTTAAAGTATAACTTGCTGTATTGCAATTTTAAAGTATGCCGGTTATTTTAATATCTGCAGTGTTCGCAGTAGGAATTTATTGTTATTTTAAAAAGTAGATTGGAGATGATTTAAAGCATAGCATCTAGTTTACTGGAAAGCAATAATTTGTAATAAGATATGTGGATGGCGTGCAAGCCTAACTTTGGCTTTTGCAGTTATTGCAGTATAATCCAGAGGAGGAGGAATAACTTCCGACATGACATTTGATAGCTACAGGTAGCAGAGTTTCATTCATTGTACATGAATATACAATCTTTCTTTGGATGAAAAGTTACTTAGATGAGTTTTCTTTACTGGGACACGTGAAACTTGCTGTCTAAAAATTATATTATGAATGGAAACAAATGATGAGACTTTAATTCAAGGAATTTTTCGTCTAATGAATTTTTTAATCTTAGATTAATGATTGTAGTATTTTTTAAAAATTTTAACATTGGTTCCATAGTTGATAGGGACGCATGCCTGGTTGGTTTGTTTTCCCCAGTGTCCGCAGTGGAGGAGGGGAGAGGAACTTCTGCTCTCTGTCAAACCACACCAGCACCTGGGGATGGGGGACTGTCACTTGACGCCTTAGAGACCCTCGTGTGGGGAAGAGTGTTCCGAGGGTGCTATTTGAGTGGTCTCAGTAGCCCTGAAACACCCTTGGCTTCATTGCACCAGGTCTTTCCAAGGTCTGTTGGCTGATCAGGTCCACGTCAGTGCCTCTACAGATCCAGACGCTTGCTGCAAAGCTTGACCAGCAGAGTTGTCTAACCTGCTCTGCTTTCCATTCTCTGACGAGGCACTTGGCATCCTTTGCTGGCTTAGATGAGCTGGCCATCATATCAGTATCAATATTACTGAGCTGCAAATTCAGAGAAAGCTGACATTAAAAATCTCAGGGTTTTTTTTTCATATTTTGTTAGAACATTTTCTTGTCCTGGAGTCAGTCGACATGTCATTGGGAATAATGCATAGTGATGTTAAAGGAAAGAAGCTTGTAACTTTCCATTTCTTTTGCTTCCAGAAAGTCAGTTTACTGTGAAATATCGATATATTAAACTAATTTTATGTGTTCTGCTCCTGTCCTTCACATGTGTTTAATGCATGTTGTTGTTTTTTTATTTCATATTCTCTTAATAGGATATGTATGTTCCTAGAAAAACAAATTTTGGCCTAATTATTTCACATCATTTCTGTTTACCATCCCTGACCAGTAAGAGCAAGCATAGTTTTAGATACTCTTAGTAACCACATCCAAATGTAGACACAGCTTGCAGTTTGTTTCAAATCTTCAACTTTCGTAGATTACTTTGCAAAAGAAGCATGTAGTTCAGTGCCCCAGTTTACACAGCATCTGCCTGTGGTGCTGAAGTATTAAAGTATCTCATTTCATTTTCACAACTGTTCTGGTTTAGATAGTCAACTTGTGGTTATCCAAACATTATTCCTGCACAGGACTCGATTTGTTCAGTAAGATGATGTCCAGGCATTGTGCTTCTGTTCATAAAAACAAATTATTATCTATTAGAGCTGGTCTCTGCCAACAATAATGTAAATATGGATGCTAGATTGACCATCTGGTCCAAAAGATTTATATGAATGCAACAGCATGCTGTGTGTTTGACAAATTCAATATTTGTTCGCTGAAACTTCCTAGCCAGTTCCTTGGGAAATAATGTTTCAAGTTTTTTTATTGTAATGAATTTTATATCATATAAAATTTATTTTAATCATTTTTACATACACAGGGAATAATCTTTGTTGAAAGTATGATTTCTGTTAGGAACAGCTGTACTGAACATTAAGGGACTTCAAACAGTGCTTGGGGAAAACACACACGCACACTTCTCCTGAAGCGACCGACTCTCCCACAGTGTCATCACACCAAGTCCTGTTGTTTCAGACGATCCGCCACTATCTGGACCCTTTGTGGCATCAGCTTGGAGCCAAGACCAAGTCCTTGGTGCAGGACTTGAAGATCCTGCGAACGTTGCTGCAGTATCTCTCTCAGTATGATTGTGTCACATTTCTGAACCTCCTGGAATCCCTGAGAGCAACGGAGAAGGCTTTTGGTCAGAATTCAGGTGGGAGATGAAAATATGGATATTATTGTAGGATCTGATATGAATAAAGTATTATGTATTTAAGGGAACCCAGGTGTAGGGAATGCTGTATCTTAATTACATGCTATATGCTACAATTTCAAACTACATTGGCTGTTCATGGACACAGATATAGAGTTTATTGATAGTTCCCATCTATTTAGCTTCTGTGTAATAATAAATATTCATGACCATTCTGAGGAATGGAATTTTGTTTCTATAAGAGACAATGTTTAGTACAAGCAGTCTCCAACTTAGAAATAGGTGGTGTTCTGGAAGTTTATTTGTGAAAAACTTACAGCTGACTTTCCCCCAAAGAGACAGCAAGGTCCAAGTCCCCAAGATGGGAGAGGTAAGGGACAAATACATAGGCCACTGGCCATTGTCCTGTGTCCGTCACTGCTGGCATGGTTCGCAGGCCCTGTGAGTGCACATAGCCAGTAATTCTTACTGCTCCCTCAGGAGCAGTCCTAAGTACTCAACCACAATGTGTGGCGATTGACACAGGCACCAGCAGTGTCACCTACCAACAGTTGGGGCACCATCATTAGCGATGGCAAGATGGCAAACAGTGGAAAACGGCCTCCCCAAAAAACATCTGGTCCAGGCACCTCTGGGACACATTTGAAAAACCACTGACCTAGCCCAACAGTGAGAGAGGCCACAATAGTGGAGAAGGGCTGGCCAGTGGGAAAACAAGGTGATGATGGGGCGGTGCCAGTTGCATGTGTGGGTCATCCGGCCCTCTAAGGTTAGAGCAACTCAACCCTGAATTGAAGGCTTTTTAACTTCTCATGATAGGTTGGCTGTTCCTGGACTCCAGTACCTCAATGTTTGTAAATGCTCGAGCAAGGGTTTACCGCGTTCCTGATGCCAAGCTGATGAAAAAAGGCAAAATGTCTGAAAACGTGGAAATAAAAGAAGGGCAAGGTATCCTGTGTCCTTAAGTCTTTGTGTTTCATTATAGTATTTGGCGTGGGAATACTGATCAAGTCAAAGTAGACCTTAAAACTCCCTTCCAGGTAAAAAACGAAGGCTCCTGCGTGCAGTGAATGAACGTGTGTATTTAACTTCGGACATGGTTAGCTCCTTCCACGGACCATGGCAGTTTGTGGCTCTGGTGGACACAAGGCACAGAACTAGCTTATACTGCCTTCTGTCTTTAAGTTCTTTGTCACTGTTTCAGGAAACATTCTACAGGAAAAATCAAGTTTTTAGAATGGCTGGTCTTGGAACCCATTGCCACAGATTACACATAATACATGCCGAATTTGAGTTGAGAGCCTTCCCAGTGGCACATAAAAGCTGTAGATGGATTTTTTTTTTCAGCTTCAAAGCGATTACTGTTGTGGGCACTTAAAGGTTTAGTGGAACATTTTAACATCTCCTTAAACTTGTTTTTTAAGATGGCTTCAGCTTTTTGAAAGCCAAACTGACAGACACAGACACAGATATCTTCCACGTGCTGGGTCTCTCCCCGGACGGCTGCCACGGGCTAACCTGGAGCCGGGAGCGGCACCCAGACCTCTCGTGGGGTGCCAGGGGTCAAGCTTGGACCAGTCTGCTGCTTTCCCCAGCCATTGGCACGGAGCTGGGACTTGAACCAGCGCCCTTACAGGAAGCCAGAGTCACAGGTGGTATCATTACCCTCTGCACAATGCTAACCCCATCCCTTTTAACTTTTAAGGAACATACATAGATTAGAATGAAACTATTAGTGGATTTTATTCCCATAATTGCCTACTTAGTATTAGATATCAGTGTTTTGTTTTGTTTTTAAAAACTTATTTATTCTTATTGGAAAGGCAGACTTTTAGAAAGGAGAGACAGTGAGAAACATCTTTCTTCTGTGGGTTCACTCCCCAAGTGGCTGCAAGAGTTGGAACTGAGCCAGTTTGAAGCCAGGTGCCCCCTTAGGGTCTCCCATGTGGGTGCAGGGTCCCAAGGCTTTGGACCATCTCTGTTTTCCCAGGCCACAAACAGAAAGCTAGATGGGAAGTGGAGCAGCCGGGGCACAAACAGGCGCCCATATCGGATCTCAGCACTTGCAAGGGGAGTATTAGCCAATTAAGCCATTGCACTAAGGCACAGGCTTGGTTAATGCTTGCTTTCTGAAGCCAACTTTAAAACTCTACTTTAAAACTTAATTAAACACACAAAAAGGCAAATAATACTTATACAAAGAAAGGCTTTATTATTGCTTCATTTTATCCGTGTCCAGGATTGTGGAAATCATGGGGATTTTAGAAATAATAGCGGGCCTGTCACCACGTGCAATGAAGCTCTCCGTCATTTCTCCACAGAGACAAGGAAGGAACTAGTCCTCGAATGCAGCCCGAAGTGGGAGGCACTGACCGAAGTATTAAAGGAAATAGAGGCAGAGAACAAGGAGAGTGAAGCACTCGGTGGTCCGGGTAAGAAAAAAAGGGCGCGCCGACACGTGGCTTTCAGTGTGCCAAGGCGATGCTGCTGTGCTGAGCTCTGCCAGGATTTCTGGCCCATCAGATGGGCTCTCGGTGCTGCTGGCAGCCTCGGGCCTGGGCTGCACCGGCTCTCACTTGCTCCGGGTTGAGCCTTTGTATATTCAGCAGGCAGAGTTTCTCACCAGCTGGATTCTTGTGCCTTCTATTTAAAGTGCCAGCTAATCTCACCCTATCCCCAGCAGGTTTTAGGTCGGCAGGCCCCCATGAGGCGAGGGGTGTCTGCTTTATGTCCTCAGCAAGTATCCTTCCTAAGTCAGTCACAGTGGCCCGGCCCTGCAGGAGCACTCTCAGGTCTCAGGCCTAGAGAGGGCGAAGGGTCGGATAATCTAAGATCCTCTGTGAACGTAGTGCCAATCACAGCTGCCACAGAGAGGCAGCGTGAGGTCTCTTTGAGGTTAGGGACTTGGGGGACAAGCAGGCAGCACTAACTCGCCTTCTCCGACCACAGGACAAGTGCTGGTCTGCGCCAGCGACGACCGCACCTGCTCGCAGCTGAAGGACTACCTTACGGCCGGGCCCGAGGCCTTCCTGCTGAGGCTCTACCGGCAGGCGTTCGAGAAGGACAGCCTCGCCGAGGAGGTGTGGGTGAGACTCCGGAAGGAGGACAGTTCACGGAGGACCCGCAGGTCTCAGAAGAGACCCAAAGACCCCCCAGTCAAAGAGCGTCCTGCCAAGGAAAGGGCTGGCAGGAAGAAGAAACCGAAGTTGACCTTAACCCAGATGATGGGGAGGCCGGAGGATGAACTGGAGGAGGGAGGGGCAGCCGAGGAGGGCAAGCCCCGGGAAGTAGACAGCAGCCCGGAAGGCAGCCTGGAGGAAGTGAGGCACGAGGAATTCGAGGTCCAGTTGTCGTCGGACGCGGCCTACGGAATCCTCAAAGAGCCCCTCACCATCCTGCACCCGCTGCTGGGCTGCAGCGACCCCTACGCGCTGACGCGGGTCCTGCACGAGGTGGAGCCCAGATACGTGGTTCTCTACGATGCTGAGCTCACCTTTGTTCGCCAGCTTGAAATCTACAGGGCCAGCAGGCCCGGGAAGCCCCTGAGGCAAGTCCTGGCAGCCGCCGAGGGCCTCCTGAGGCCCGTGGGTCCTTCGCTGGCCACGCAGATGTCACTCCAGTTGTGTGCCAGTTCTCTGGCAGCTCTCCTTACGCGGGCTGGTTGCATTCAGAGTCTTACTTCTGATTACTGGGCAAGCAGGGAGTTGGGTTGAAAGGGTGGGCAAGCATAGGGGCAGAAGAGCCAGCCCGGGGACCCACTCGTGGCCTCCCTACTGGCTGCTGCCCGCACCGTCCCATGTGCTTTTTGAGTCGGCATGTAGCTCGTGGCGTGCCACAGCTGAGAAAGTCTAGGAAATTTGTGCTGTTCCAAGTCCTACCAAGAGTTTAATGTAATTAAAACTTGGCTAACTAGTTCTGATCTTCTAAAATGTCTTTCCTATAAATTTTAAGGAGTAGGACTAGATTACATCCACATTAAACTAAGGCATTTGTGGGAATTACTGGCCCAAGGTTTCTTGAGTTTCAAGACGTATCAGATGAAAATCTTCAGAAATATCAGACGAGCAAACCGATGCCTCCCGGAGAATATAGTGTTCTTGCTCTCCAATTATCTGAGGGGAAATAAACAGCAAAATTAATATCCTGAACTTCGTCTGAACCAAACAGAGAGCCAAAAGCAACCTCCCAAGCAGCTTGACTGCGCGGCCCGTCCACGCAGAGATGAATGGGGGAACTGGCTCAGAAGCAATGCAGGATGAAGGACTCGCTGAGGCTGGGAAAGCGATGACCCACGGGCGGCTCTGGCCTGCTCCGCTATTGATTCGCTCTGCAGCCAGGCCCCGTGTGCCAAGCTGCCCCCGCCCTGGGCAACCAGGGCAGTGAGCTCTTTGGGAACAGAAGGGCAGAATCAGAAGGGGCCTGGGAGTTGAGCCACTCGCTCTGCCGAAGGGAGGCCGAGAGCCAGAGACGGGGGTGCCCGGCACAGTCTGGAGGCATGTCAGGAAAGCCGAGAACCAGAGAGGAGAGCACCTCCGCTGGCAGGTGTAGGAAGGGGGCACAGGACCGGCCTGCTCCAGCTCCGTGATTGACAAGCCAGCTAGAGAAGCAGGCCTTTCCCAAAGGAAAATGCGAGAAACAGACAGCCGATAAAACCCCCGAGTCTTGCCTGCCACGGGTTAGTATAGACTGGTAAGATTTAGGCACTGCCTGTGAAGTTGAAGGTGAACTAACTAATGTGAATTTTCTTTTTTTTTTTTTTTTAATTGGAAAGGCGGATATACAGAGAGGAGGAGAGAGAGAGAGAGGAAGATCTTCCATCCTATGGTTCACCCCCCAAGCAGCCACAATGGCTGGTGCTGAGCCAATCTGAAGCCAGGAGCCAGGAGCTCTTCTGGGTCTCCCATGCGGTGCAGGTTCCCAAAGGCTTTGGGCCATCCTTGACTGCTTTCCCAGGTCATAGGCAGGGAGCTGGATGGGAAGCAGGGCTGCCAGCATTAGAACCTGCACCCAAATAGGATCCTGGCACATGTAAGGTGAGGACTTTAACCACTATGCTGTCGTGCCAGGCCGTAATGTGAACTTATATAACCTGGTTGTTTTTCTTTAACTGTCCTCCTTTTTTGTCTTCAAAGATTTATTTTGATTTGAAAGTCAGAGTTAGAGGAAGAGAAGGAGAGGCAAAAAGAGAGAGAGCTTCACTCCCCCAAATGGCCGCAGTGACCAGAGCTGGGCTAGTCTGAAGCTCGAAGCCAGGAGCTGCTTACACATCTCCCATGTGGGTGCAAGACCCCAAGCACTAGGGCTGTCCTTTGCTGCTTTCTCGGGCACATTAGCTGGGCACTGGATTGGAAGTGAAATAGCCCATATGGGATGCTAGCACTGCAGACTGCGCCATTACGCACTATGACACAACACCAGCCCCTGTCCAACTTTTTAAATGTTTGCTTGGCAGAGATGCAGGATGAACTGGAGCAGCACAAGCCCTAAAATCTTGTGTTTTTTTTTTTTAACTTCTTTATAGTTATAAAGAATTATTCTCTCCTTCTAGTTACATTTTGGTATTGATTAATCTCTGGTATTGATAATGAGACCTTCGGCAGGTGGGCTGTGAGCAGCATATGTGACCACTGGAACCGTGCATGTGAACAGCTTCAAGCATTCTGACTTCCCAGGGCCTGGCTGAGCCTTGCAGGACAGGAGCAGACAGGAGTGGACAGGAGCGTGGGCTATCACAGCCTAAAGGAGTTCTGTCTTCCCTTGCAGGGTTTACTTTCTGATCTACGGAGGCTCCACGGAGGAGCAGCGCTACCTCACGGCTCTGCGCAAAGAGAAGGAAGCCTTTGAGAAGCTCATCAGGTGAAGCCCGGAGGAGAAGGCTAGGGAGAGGATGGGGCCAGGAGGGTCCCCTGCAGGTCGGCCCAGGATGGCACCTGTGCCCCAGAGCAGGTCTCTGCAAGGCTGTCTTGTACAGCGTTCCCAGGTCCATTAGCAGAGAGCTGAAACCATCCCTGCCCATCTAGGAGGCCGTTGTCACAGGTGGTGGTTTCATGTGCTGTGCCACAGTGCCTGCCTCGAGCTTCTCTAAGTTTGAAGGCATGGCATTAAGAAATGAGTGGGAACTGCTGAGAAGACACTGCAGTTCTCTGATGCAAGGAGGAGGCAGTCAAAGTTAACGGAGAGAAGAGAGCGAATTTTGAGGGGTGCTTAGGGATCAAATCAAAACCCTCCTTCCGCTCTCTGCAAAAGTTCTTTGCCTGAGTTTTCTCTGATTTGATTGTTGAGATCAGGCTGTGGGTGTTCACAGCAGGGCTCCCAAGCACCTCCCAGGAACTCTCCGGTGCCAGGAAAGGTGTTGACAGAGTGACAGATGACCACCAAAGGCATTAGATTAGAACCAGTGCAGGGAGAGGGCGGGGAACAAAGTCCAGGGAAAACTGTTGGAGGCTTCCAGGTTAGCACAGTGGCCTCGCAGGGACGTGCTTAATTGCGCAGCAGCTGTCTGCCAGCACCTGCACCCTCCCCCAGCCCACCTCGAGGGCCCGATCTCCTGTCTGGCAGATGCAGGGCATCCCCATAACTGGCCTCAGCGCCCCTCCAAACAGAAACAAGCATGCATCAACCGTCAGCCTGAACTTTCAAATCAAACTGGTGACCGGGGCCCAAGGTCTCAGGAACCCTCTGACCAGACAAAACATCTTGATCAGACCTCACCTGGAGGGAGCCGCCCTTGTTGCCCTGCGTGGTGCCAGAGCCAGAGGGGCTGGCTAGAACATGAGCAGGTGGCCCCAAAGAGGGCAGGGAGGGCTTTAATACTCCAAGCTTTGTTCACAAAGCCGCCTCTTCTCCAGCTCAGGGTACCTGAGCCATGACAGCTGACAGTGAGGTGCTGGCGACTCCATGTCACTCCTGGTCTATGCAGGTGATGCTGCTAACCTCAGGGACTCAGCAACAAGACATGAACAAATCCTGCATGTATCGGAAATCTCATTTGAGGTGCTGGCATCATGGCATGCAGGTTAAGCTAACACCTGCATTGCTGGTATCCCACAGGGCACTGAGCCAGGTCTCTGCTCCTCCACGTGCATCCAGCTCACTGCTAGTGGCTTGCAAAAAGCAGCAGTGGTTGGCCCAAATAGAGCATTGCTCGGGAGACCTGGAAGAAGCTTCTGGCTTCAGCCTGGCTCGGTCCTGGTCATTGTGACCATCCGGAAAGTGAACCAGCAGATGGAAGACCTCTCCCTCTTTTCCTAATTCTGACTTCAGAATAAATTTATAACGGGAAAAGAGAAAAAAAAAATATCCCAGCAGAACCTAGACATGGCTCTGTCCTCTGTCACATTTCAAGTGACAGAGCATTTGCTGCCCAGGCTGTAATGTATTTTGTCTACAGTCTGTCATATTTTTCTCTACTGCCTCAGTGGTGACTGCCTATTTACTGTAAATAAGACGCAGCCATGGGATGCTTACACCATTTAGAACTTTGATATTTCTTTTCCCAGAAAAGTTGGGAAATCTGAGAAGTGTTTGTTTTGAAACCAAAACTATTTGAGGTGTGCTTTTAGAAGAGCATCTGCACTGTGAGAGACACTTTGCTTTCACCAAGATGTCTGCCCGATGTCATAAGGGCAGAGGCCCTGTCGCCATTCAACCAGAAAAGAATGAACTCGGCAGACTGGCAGGCAGGGCTAAAGACAAGTTAGTTACAAGGGAAGAGATGGTACTGCTAAAAACAGCTAGTAAAATGATCCCCGGATAGAAAAACATCAGTGTTGGTACCCTCAGCATGCATTTTTCGAGGACATCACTGCTTTTCAAAGGAAAGATAAAGATGGTTTGAAGTTTTACTGTTAGGAAATCTGATCACAGAGGGAGGCATGTGGCCTAGAGACTAAGATGCCAGTGAGACTGCCCACGTGCCCTCTCAGTGCCTGGGTTCTGTCATGGGCTCTGCTCCCAATGCCAGCCTCCTGCTGACGCAGGCCCTGAGAGACAGCGGTCATGGTTCTGTCACTTGGGTCCCCACCACCCACGTGGGAGACCCACCTTCAATTCACGGCTGCCTGCTGTGGCTTCAACCAGGGAGCAGAGTGGGCATCTGGGGAGTGACCCAGCAGACCGGGGCTTTCTGTCTGCTTCTCAAATAAGTAAATAAGTGTTTTAATTAAAAACGCAAACTTGAAAGTGCTTAAAGAGTCTCCTGCCTAGACATAAAGCTCTTGGAAAATAGGATTATGAGGTAAATTTATTTCAGTGCAGAAAAAATTGAAATCTAGGCACACAGTAAGTCTTCAAAAAAATGCTTATGGAAAATGCATATCACAAAAAGACTGTGGATTTCAAAACTGTTTTGCCCTCACAGTTACCTTGCAATTCCATTTTTCCATGAGCTTTTTGCAGTATCCACATATGTGTTCATTTTATTAATTGTTAACCTTTATATTGATGATCATTCTGAAAATATCTGAATATAAGTGATTTAAATAACTTCTTTTAACTGTAGCCTTACAATTTCAGGAATGTCTCCGTGACATTTTCTTACTTGCTTATTTTGTGTCTCAAAACACTTGAATGTAAAATGAAAAGCAAAAAGAAGTAAACTTCTGTTCCCTCCTACCACTGTGGCCCATAGGGATTGTTTTCAATATTAGAATTAACAGAAGATTGGAATCTAAAGTTTGAAAAAACTTTAAAAAAAAAGAGAGAGAGAAAGAGAAATGCATAAACTCCTTTCTCCTCCAGGGAGAAGGCCAGCATGGTTGTCCCTGAAGAGAGAGAAGGCCGAGATGAAACCAATCTGGACTTGGCAAGAGGCGCTGCGTCCACAAACGCTCCCACAGACACGCGCAAGGCCGGTGAGTCCTGCCCTCGCCAAGTCTCTCACGGCCTCTGCGCTCGCTCTGTGGAGGCTTGCTTCTCCCTGGCAGAGATTGGGAGGTTGGGCACGGGCTGCACTTGAGAAGATCTGCCTAGGGCAGTGCCACATCGCCATGCAGTGTCTGAGCTCAAGTCCCAGCCCCACTCAGCTCCAGCCTCCTGCCGTGCACACCCTGGCGGGCAGCAGGCCTCAAGGGCCGGAGGGCCAGGCTGGGTGGGCCCCCACTGCCATGTCAGAGCTCCTGTCTCAGGGCCAGTCACCCCCTCCCCATGCCTGCAGTCCACCTCCCTACTGATCCCTAAGATGGCTTAAGAGTCCAGGCTCCCCAACCCCCTGTGTGGAAGGCCCATATTGACTTCCTGGCTGCAGCCTCTGCCAGTCTTGGTCATGGCCAGCACTTATGGAGTGGACAAAGAAATGAGAAGCACATTCTCTATCTCTCTCTCTCTTGCTCACTTTCTCTCCCTCACTTTCTCCCTTTCTTCCTCTTCCTGTCCCTCTCCTCTCCCTCCCTCCCTCTCAAAAATAAATGAGTGAGTGAAGACCAAAAACACACAGCATGGGTTGATCCCAGGCCAGGCTGCGTGCCTCGGCTCTGTGTGCTCCCTGGCCCAGGGCGCTGAGTCACCTGGAAGGGGACCTGGGCAGAGCCCCGGGCAGTCTGTGCCAACACAGCATCTGAGTTGGCTGGCTGAGACTCAGAATGTGCCTTTGCAAAGCCAGTTGACTCACCTGGCCACTGAAGGAAGCTTCTCCCCCCTTGCTCTGCCTCTCCCCTCATGCATTTACCCTCGTCCATTCCCACTGTCTTGTGTGTGTATACATTATTTTATGGTCCTCCCGGGCACTGTGTACCCTCACAGTTGTGCACTGTCCATCCTGCTGAGTCCCATGTGCTCCCGTTTTCCTTCTCCCCAAAGTCCCATTTTCCTGTGGCAGCAGCTGGTACCAGATAAGCTTGAGGAAAACACAGCAGTTGGGTTTGTTTAACCTTGGGGAGGTCAAGTACAGTTCAAGCAGTGGTGGGGCACACGTGATAGACTGATAGAATTATAACTCCTTATGAAGGACTATGCTGTTGTAACAATATGGGGACCATCAGTCAGGGGGTGGCATTTGAAGGGGGGCGGGAATTCCAGACTCTACAGAATTATACTGTAAAATTCAAAGTTCAAACTAAAAAAAAAAAAAAAAACTTAGTAAACCTGAGAATAATTTCAACAGGCCAGAGCTGAGGTGCGGTGGGTTAAACTTCCACTTCCCTGTATGGGTCCTGTAGGGAGTCCCTGCTGTGCACGTCTCATCCAGCTCCGTTAAGGCACCTGGAAACGCAGCAGACGATGGCCCAGTGGTTGGGCTCCTGCTGCCACGTGGGAGACCTGGAAGAAGCTCCTGGCTCCTGATTGCAGCCTGCTTGGTGCAGCCCTGCTCACCGTAGCCATTGGGAAGTGGATAGTCTGTATTCTCTCTCTATGACTCTGCCTTTCAAATAAGTTAGGTAAGCCTTTAAAAAAAAAAAAAAAGAGGGCCCAAGGTTGTGGTCCCTTGCCCCGCTAGACGAGAACTGAATGTGGGCTGTGCCTGCAGCCTGGCCCAGCCCTGACTGTAGTGTGGAGCCAGGGAGTGAGCCAGCAGACAGAAGGTCTGTCTCGCTTACCCCCCACCCCACCACTCTCGTTATTTCTGTACTTCTGCCTTTCAAATACGTAAGGAGATCTTTAAAAAAAAAGTTTAGAAATTCAAGTAGCAGTATTAAAATAATGATAGTTGCTTATTAAAACTTGAGGTTCACAGGCCATTGAGATTCATAATCTCTAGACACAGTCTGGGAGTGAGAGACGGGTCAGCAGCAAGCTTGGGACGGAAGTCGGTGCACCTCAGGCCACAGCTCTGGGCACTGAGTCTTTTTTGAAGAGTCTTAGTACCCCAGCCAGGCTGGTGACATTATCTTATTAGGAAGGACAACATGTGAGGCAGCGCGACGGGAGGCGAGGTTGAGCCTGTGGGTAGCACACAGAACTGTCAGTAGACATTCGTCCTCTGGAATTCTGTCCCTCAAGCCTCTGGAGTTTGCTGTTGTTGCTGGAGCCAAGTACCGCAGACAGTGGCGTGAAACAGCACACAGTTGTTATTGCACAGTCCTGCGGGTCAGGGCTTCCCCACACCCCACCTGCCGGCTGCCTACAGGGGCTAACTGCTGAAATTCACATTTCCAACACATCATTGTTACCTGTCATCTTCGAGAGTCCTTCCCCATAGCCTTCAAGCCACCTCTTGTCCCCAGGTGGCCAGGAGCAGAACGGTACACAGCAGAGCATCATCGTGGACATGCGTGAGTTCCGGAGCGAGCTCCCATCGCTGATCCATCGCAGGGGCATCGATATCGAGCCTGTGACCCTGGAGGTCGGGGACTACATCCTGACCCCAGACATGTGCGTGGAACGCAAGAGCATCAGCGACCTGATCGGCTCCTTGAACAACGGCCGCCTCTACAGCCAGTGCGTCTCCATGTCCCGCTACTACAAGCGGCCCGTGCTGCTGATCGAGTTCGACCCCAGCAAGCCCTTCTCCCTCACATCCCGAGGTGCCTTGTTCCAGGAGATCTCCAGCAATGACATCAGCTCCAAGCTCACACTGCTCACGCTCCACTTCCCCAGGCTTCGCATTCTCTGGTGCCCCTCCCCCCATGCCACCGCCGAGCTGTTTGAGGAGCTGAAACGCAACAAGCCACAACCCAACGCAGCGATGGCCATGGCTGTGACGGCCGACTCCGAGACCTTGCCCGAGTCGGACAAGTACAACCCCGGCCCCCAGGACTTCTTGTTGAAGATGCCTGGGGTCAATGCCAAGAACTGCCGGTCATTGATGAACCGCGTGAAGAACATCGCGGAACTGGCAACTCTGTCCCAGGAGGAGCTCACGACCATCCTGGGCAACGCCGCCAACGCCAAGCAGCTGCACGACTTCATGCACACCTCTTATGCCGAGGTGGCATCCCGGGGGAAAATGAAGAAGTGAGCCATGGCGGCCGGCCTCTCATCCCATGCCTGTGCTGTCCACCTGCCCCGTGTCGGCCAGCGGAGGTCGCTGTCTGCAACAAGCTCAGTGCTGATGCTGCAGAGCGGAAAGCGCTTAGATATTCTTTCCCCAAGGGCAGGGACCAGGATCCCCCTCACTCCAGCACCTCGGGGTCATCCTCGCTGTCCTGCCCCAGCCTCTGCCCCAGCTTGCACTGTCCCTGCCAGGCCCTCGGGTACCCAACCCTACAGTGGGTGTGGGCAGGATCAGGTAGTTTCTGCAAGAGTTGGTTTCTACAGGCTCCTTGAATCCTAGTGGGAATGTGTTTTTCCTATGCAAACAGTAAGGTGCGCAGTCATGTTCTCATCCTCTAGCTACACAGGGGCCTCTGCACTCACAGCATCGTCCCTTTGCCATTTCCCCCACCAGTGCTCCACACCACGTTGTCTTCAGCAACACACCTCCTCCACCTGTAGTTCCTGCTGTGAAACCGGCCAGCTAGGCTTCAGGTCCCATACATGGAGGTAGCTCGTACTACACCTTGACTGTTCAGAACCAATATTTCTACAGCAAAAAGCAGTTCCCCTGCTTGCAGAACAGGCTGGCCCGGGAAAGAGCCCTGGGGCTTGGCAGTTGCTACTGCTGAGTAAAGTCCAGGGAGCGCCCTGTCCAGATGGCGGTCATGGACAGCTGCAGGAACCCCTCCCTTCCTGGCAGGTCCATGTTGGGATGGAGTTTTCTTTCCTCAAGGTGAGATAAAGGACTGCAGGTAAATGAAAGAGCAGTGCATAGACTATGTGCAAGTTCAAGGGAAAAACAGCCTGTATTTAAAAATCCCTAAGGAACACAATCTCATTTGGAACCTACTTCCCATTGATTTAGGGTTTCCTTTTATGGATGTGTACATACAGGGTATTCGTAGCATCTTTGTACAGTTTTTAAACTTTTCTATTTAAACACTGACATGCACAGCGATGCCTAATAAATTTCCTACCTCAAGAGCTGGCATAGACATGAATTCAGCCAGCCATGACCCCATTGTAATGTGTCATCAATGTCACCTGGTTTTTATTGTTGTTTGTCACATTGATGGTGAGCATGTGACACAAAATTGTCTTTAGCAAAAGTAGTTTTAGCTGAAGACCAAAAAAATTGAAGTCTTCAACTTTAACAAAAAATATTTTTAATTGCCTTTCCAAACTTGGCCTCTCATGTTGGCGTCTCGGTGTGGCCATGCTGGGCTGTGCATGTGGATCGGTAACTGCGGACGAGGCGGTCAGAGCTGGACTGGTTTTCCTGGAACTCGGCCACGTGACACAGAGGATGGCAGCGAGGACAGGAGCCCAAGATCAGTGAAGGTGGGAGAAAGAGTCGCACTGTAGCTTTTGTCCCAGGGTGAAAGCAGAAATGCGGAGCGGTGCCAGCCCGAGTATGCAGGCTGCCTTTGGGGGTCTGCTCCATTGATGAATTCCCTCAGAGATTCCAGACACATGGGGACAGAGGGAGCACTGCAGGTGGTGCTGGCCACTAGGCCGTTCCTCCCCGTCCAAGCCTGTTGCTGTGGCACGCACTGCCCCTCTTTCCTTCCTTTTCCGGTCCTTTCATAACGTGGAAGGCGAGCCCTGAGCTGGCACAGTGTGTGATCGGGACTTGAGGAACAAGTGCTTCCCAAAGCATTCACTTCAAACAGTCCTTGTCGCCTGGCAGAGCATCGAGAGCAGGCTTCCTTGTGCTCAGGCTCGGTGGCCCCCAAGTCCTCCCGAGCACTGGAACACTGCCCGGGTGTGTGTGAGCTGTGAGCGCGCATTGCCAGTGAGCTCTGAAACGTCCTTACAGGCAAGGCCCCCCCACCCGGCACAGCCCCTGCCGCTGGACGGGCGAGGACCCCCGCCCCCCGGCACAGCCCCTGCCGCTGGATGGGCGAGGCCCCCAGCACAACCCCTGCTGCTGGCCGGGGGAGGCTTTCCACACATCCAGCAGGTGGTCACCCTTCCAAGGTTTGCTCTTTCTGGTTTTGTTGCTTTTATAATCTAAAGGTTTTTGATGAACTAGGAATTCATATAGTTGCAAAATTAACGTATTTCTTTTCTAGCATCATTTTGTTCAACTTTGCCTTTTTTTGTCTCAAAATAGTAAACATCCAGTTTACATAGGAATTGATGTTTAGGTTTTTAAAAAGCTGGATCATCATTATTGTTACATTTTGCAGGACTTTTGCATAGAAATGTAAACATATGAAATATTGTGAGAAATCAGTTTAGGGTATCATTTATTTAAATCACATTGCTTCTTGCTATTTCTGTAAAATCAGACAGGAGGAAGTAATTTTTAATAGTGGCCATGAACATGATCCTTTGGGCAATAAGTCACTGTCGAGCCCGAGGCCTGGTCAACCAGGTGTGTCTGCCTGTGCTGGAGCAACGGGCGACAGGGGGAAGGGGGAACATTTTCCCAGGTCACAAGGGGCTGAGTGGACTTGTCTGGCACATCAGCCCATTAGGATGGGAAGGGTGACATCTTGATGGGTAACTGAGGGAAAGCTATGCTAAGCACAGCTCGGCGAGGGAGTGGAGTAACGTGGGAGACGGTACTGGTCCTCGCTTTGGCTTTTCAGGCAGAATTTAATTTTCCTTTGGCTCAGAACACTTTGTTCGTTAGGGAAACTCTCTTCTCCCCTGTGTGGTTGAACCTCAGAGTATCCTTTGAAAAGTCAGTGTTGAAGGCCAGCGTTTCTCTGCAGCGTGGGAACTTGTGAGCCTTAGCGGGTCTCGGGCATGGATTGCTTGTGGTTCTTTGCTCTTCCGCCTTCTCTGTTGATTTGTTCTTACTGGCTTCACTGAAAGAGCCACCTTGATCAGCAGGTGTTTAGGGTCCCCACACTGGGCAGCTGGAGCAGAGCCGTGAGTGTGTAACGTAAAGTATATATTTATTCCAGATTTCACTCAGTGTTCTGTGGGCACAGTGAAAACAACGCAGTGGAATAAAGGGCACGTATGACCAGCACTGTGTCGGAAAAACATGAGGATGTTTGATTGTTGTTTTTCTCTCGCGCTGCACAGAGTAACCCATTAGAGCTGACTGTCTTCAGACCGCCGCCTGATGTTTGACTAACACGGTGGCCCACATGCTGAGGCCGCAGTGGGTCCTGGGCATTTTTCCTCCCTTCTCTTCATCCAGCACTCTGTCTCCTGCAGCAGGGGGCAGGCTGTTCATGGGCTGAAACTGCTCACACTTCGCCTGTGAAGGGGCGACTGGTGAGCCCAGCTCCTGGGATGTCTTCATTGGCCAAGGGCAGTCTTCTGCTCACCCCGCTGCCTGCATCTGGATGTCTTTAGCATCTAAGTTCAAGTTAGGAGACACGAATGATCCTTCTGACACATCTGGAACTTATTGCGATCCCCGAGACACGTGTAATTGTTGGTTTATTAGTTGGTTTTAAAAAAGTTCCTGTCCCTGCACAAGGTGGAAGACGGCCGAGTCCTCAAAAGATTTTAAAACCAGAAGATGCTGGCTACTGATGAACCCTTAGTTGTACAAGTCACATTTGGGAGCACTTGGCGCGTTGTCTCATTTAATGCCCCATTACAAAGCCTTCCTGGCCATGGAGGTGCTGTTGTGTAACCCTGTGTCACAGCGATGAGACCGAGGCACAGAGAGGCTTAAGTAACTTGCTCAGGATCACCAGCAGTGCAAGGCAAGGGGGCCCATCTGAAGGCTGAGCCATCCACAAGGAAGCCTTGAGGACAGGGTCAGCACCAGCGGCTGCAGGAGCTGTGGGGTGGGAAACCGGCTTGCACCCGCTTTTACATGTTTAATTGCAAATGTATCCACAAAATGAGCTGGTCACCTTTGTACTTGGCAATGGCATTGCCACTCTGAGTTTGCGTAGCTCCCAGATAATGATAAAAACCCGGTTGCCAGCCTCATGTCCCTGAAGTTAAACCTGGTGGGAGGGACACATGCTCCCGCATGCATTCTTGTTGGGTGCTAGGATGCTGCGAGCTGATGAGGTAATCATTTGTGTTTTTAAGAACCATAGACAGATGTGGAGATGCTGGCTCCCAGTTCAGTGGTCTCTTGCTTTCCTTTCTGTTTTTCCTGTGTGTCCGTTGACAGCGGGCGTGAAAGAAGCTGATTTTGTAAATGAGAAAGAGGAGAGTTCTAGCAGTTCCCAGGGACCCGTTTGTGTGACTGAGCTCGTGCTACACCACAAGAACGTGGCTCCCTGAGGCCTGGGAGATTGAAAAAATAACAATAAATCAAACTTGTGATTTGAAACCAAGGGGTTTCCTGGGATCCATGAAAAGAGTAAGGAAGCCAGCCTGCCAGCAGGGCATGTCTGAAATGATGCCAAGTGGCACCGTGAGCTGCAGCCCACATGCCTCTCCATGCAGCAGTAGGGAGGGAGGGAGGGAGCGCAGTTCGGCAAGGCCCAAGAGGCTTGTTCAGACACATCCATTTCGGCCTCCAGGATCCCTGCTCGTGGCTCAGGGCCCTGGGAGCAGTAACAGCCCGGGGCCATCAGGAGCCTTCAGACCAGCAGACCAAAGTGCCACATATCCAGGCACTGCACAGGCCTGGGAAGGAAGCTGTGTGGACGTGGGGGTCAGGAATGGCCCCCAAGGGAAAACGGAATTCATCACGAGCCACGTGTTCGTGGGCGGAGGAACAGGCCGTGCACTGCAGCCTGGGGCCCCAGCAGCAGCGAGGAAGCTGCCGGGCACCGTGGTGGTGTTCAAGGGGAGTCATGCACAGTGGGGTACAGACCACCAGGCTGCTGGCACCTCCTCGAACGTAGGTGGCAGAGTGGGAGGGTCCCTCAGTAAAAACCTGAAGATTTGGTCAAGGAAAATGCAGGCTTCGGAAGTCAGCCCTAAAACATCTGGCAGCAGCCTATGCTGAGGGCACAGCGAGTAAACAGCTGTCTGTGACACTGGCTCTGGTTCAAACAGCTGCCTGTGACAGCTGCTCCACTTCTGTTCTAGCAACCTGCTAATGTGCTGGGAAAGCAGCAGAAAATGGCTTAGGCCCCTACACCCATGTGGCTCCTAGACAAGCCCCAGGCAGATACATGCTTCACTATGCTGCTCTCTCCCCCTCTCTGTGTCAAATTAATTTAAAAAAAAAAAGAAAAGTGTTTGCAGTGAGAGGAACTGATCCTGAGCACTCACAGTGCATCAGGTCCCTAGTACTTGTGATTCTCATACAGGAGCAAAGTTAAGACTGAGAAGTAGATGTCACCAGGGTACGAAATATAGACTCAAGCCCACCCCCAGACCCCTCCCCCCGGAAAGCGGAGTGGGAGGGGAGAAGGCCATTCCAGCAGCTGCTGTAGCCATCTCAGCAGGTGATGAGGTCGTGACGGGATGACGGCTTTGGAGCAACGAGAGCAGCACCCAAGGACAGTACATGAGTGTGGCAGAGGGTACGCGCCCAGCGAGTCTGAACACGGCTGCCCCTTGGGCCTGGGCCCAGGGTGTGGGGAGCCCGTGCTGTGGAAGGACCCAAGTCTGTGGCTTAGGTGGAGCTGACCCCGGAGGTTGGGGGTGGACATCAGCACCCCGAAGCATCACTCGCTGAAGGTAAAGAGGCGTGGAAAGACCAGCGAGGGAAGCGTGAGAAAACTGCCTGTGTCTAGGCGCTGGGAAACACACAGCGGTGGAACCATGCGACCACCAGGACAGAAGGCAGAGGCTTGGCACAACAGCACAGCAGCTCAGACTGGTCAGCCTGAGAATGGCCCTGGGCGGAACGGGAGAGGGAGGGCGCCCGCCATGCCTGCCAGCGAGCCAGTGCAGAAGGGACCAGGCAATAGGACAAACCCAACGGGTTTCGTTCTTCCTTCTGTACCAGCAGAAAGCCTGTTTTTGCCGCAGTTTGCCTCTCCATCAAAAGCAGCAGAGCAGCGAGCCCTTTTCGCAAGCTCTGCCCCCACAGGGTGACAGCACGGCCGGTCCCTCAGCTGCCTGGGAAAGGGCTAGGACCCCCGACCCTGTGACCTGGCCTGGCCGCCGGGTCATCCTGCACAGCATCCCTCGCGGCGATTCTGATGAAACCCAGACGCGTCCCCGCTGGGCAGCCTGCAGCAGCCCATGCTAAGACTCCGCTGGGATTTGTATTTTGGTCTCGGGGAACTTCCTGTAACTGGGGCAGCCGAGTTGCTATGGTGACGTGAACAATGCTTCCATGCACTAAAACAGCAGCTGACAGTGACACTACGGCTACCCAGAACACAGCATTCCTGCGCCCCTGAGGACTTGCGCACAAGCATCTTTTTCTTGAGACCAAGAAGGCATAAGCTAAGAAATGCACCTTTGACTCTGTAGCTCTGAGCCTTCACCAGTCACACACCCAAGGCTGCCCGCCCTGGGAGAGGGCTCAGCAGGGGAGCAACGATGCGGTTACTCGCTCCAGTGTGGGCAAAGGCTGCACACTGACTGATACTGCCCTCTGTCCCTGGGAAATGGCGGTCAGAAGGTCGGGGGATCTGGATGCTCAGGCAAAAGCTCAGGAAAAGGCCTAGAGCACACCATCCAAACGGGGCGCTCCCGGTCGCCACCGGAAGGGGGCCCCGTCGAGTCGGGCCCTAGGCGGGCTTCCTTGGAGTCGCAGCTGGGCGCTGTGCAACAGGGCGCGCCGGCCTCTCTGATTCTTGTCCAGCCGTGACTCGGGGAGAGGGTGGGAGAGATAGCCTGCTTTCCAGCATGACTCATTATAAACAAACGGAGGACGTGCTGCCTGCCTCTTATCAGAGCCCTAGCCTGTACCCCGGGCTAAGCATGAGTCATCCTGGGCGCCTATACTTCCTCGGTTACAGCTTCCCCCACATACAGGAGGAGGAGGGTGGCTGGCTGGGATGTCACTGTCCTTAAATACTGCGGCTGCCCCCACCCCGGATGAAGCCCCGGGTGCCTTCAGAAGCACAAAGCACTTCCCAGAATGAAGGTGAGAGCTGGCTGTCACCACGTGTAATGGCTCCCCACGTCAGCCTATGGCAAGAACCATGCTCTGTTGCAACACACGTGCAGTCAATACCGTGCAGATGCTTTGAGAAGAAAAAAAAAAAAAAAAGGAACGGTTCAGTGGAGAAATGAGAGAAACCTGGTCATTTACCTAAACCCTCCAGGACCCCGCTGCTCTCAGAGGTCCGAGATGGTCGGCATTGCTTGCCCAGGGTGCAGACAGCCACAGGACCCCTGCCTGCGGTTCCCGCCTTCCCGGGTGAGTTACTGGTGTCCTGCCTTCGTCAAGGGTAGGGATAGGGAAGTGAAACCCAGGTTGGTGACCAGTTTTGGAGTTGGGGTTCGGGTAAGGCACTGCCCAGGGACACCACAAGCCCAGAGACCCAGGTTTGTGCCTTCCTGTCTCAGCAAATTCAAGTTGAGTCAAGGCTCCAGCAGGGCCACCCTGGGGAACTTTGCCGCTGGGCCAGGCACACCAAACACACACTCATGAAATGACTTAAGTCTTGGATCCCAGCAAGCCAATTAATCCAGGGACAGATGAACACATGTGTGCGCAGATGGCCAAAACAAGACAGGTGGAATTAATCAAAGAATAAGCAGTTACATGGAGAGGGATGGCCCGGATTTTTTAAAAATGTAAATGACCTCAATTGGGAAAGTATGAAGATGTGTCCACACATGGGTGTACTTAAGCTCCACCAGAAGGGCGAGCTCTCTCTCCCTTTAGCTAATGTGCACTGTGGGCAGGGAGAAGGACTGCTCCTTCTGCTCCACACAGGTTCGGTTCTGACAGAAGCCTGCTCTGCCCGCTGACCTTCCGGGCCCGGCTTTTCTGGCTTCCGTCCCTGGGACCTGCTCATCTTATCTGAAAGGAAAGAATTCTCGTGTTTTGCCTTCAGCACTTCGGGAAGGCCCCTGCGTGGCTGTCATTTTTGACAAACCAATGTCCACACTGCAGCGATTTGGAGAACTTGTCATCCTAACAGGAGTGTCTCTCAAGTAGGGGAACCTGGCCTTCACCTCAGCCAGGCGCTGCAGGTGCACGGTGGGTGGGCGCTAATTCTCTGGACTCTGAGTCTACTGTGAGCCCGCGTCACACCGCGGGAGCTGGTCTCACACGGCCT